CCTCGTTCATCGTAACGTCCAGACGACACTCGATTCTCCCCTTGCACAGCCATGAGGACCCACCGAACCCTAATGCCCCAACATCGACATCATGTTACGACCGCTCGCCGTCCTCCCAAAACCAGCAACAATCTTGGTCTCCTATGTCCTGTCGCTCCCCTTCGCCTTTCCCATGCCGTCTATCCTCGGAAAACTGACCAGTGTAGCTCCTGGAGGTGATGCTGCATTGACCTATCGACCCGGAATCTCTGTTAATTCTGGCAACTCTGCAAAACCTTTTGGACGTAAAAGTAGATGGCGTTCCTGTTTCAGCGCTCATCGACACAGGTGCCCAATTATCAGTCATGAGTGCTCGCACTTCTTGTAGTCTTGGTAAAGTCGTTACATCCACCTCATCACCTGTCGTTCGCATAGTCGATGGCCGTTCACCTACCGTCCTTGCAATTGGTTCTGCGCATGTGGGCTTCGATTACCACAAGACCTCAGTTCTCTTTGCTGTTCTGGATGAGTGCCCTCATGATCTAATCTTCGGCCATGGCTTTCTGAGCATGCATTCTGCTCTGATCGACTGTTTTTCTGGTTTGTTACAGTTAAAGCTTCCTGCTATACCAGACCTCACTATCACGTCTCCTTCGTGTTTATGTGTCGTTCACTTTGTTCGCTTGCGTCTAGGTACCGCGACTTATGTCTCATTTAACGAGAACCTACTAGTACGTGATGGTGACTACTTGATTACCTCCTCCTTCGTCGTTATTCTGGCGCGATAAGTAGCTCTCCCTCACTCTCTTGTGACTGTTTCTGCGAACAATGCTTGCATACGTGTCCTGAACTTTGGACGCTGGGCACGACTGCTTCCTGAAGGTAACACGCTGGGCACTATATTACCTTTAGATGCAAACGACCCTTTTGACCTGGCCATGCCCCACAGAGGCCTCCAGGCAGCCCTGCTGCTAGCCTGACACCTGATCACGCGTTCGAATACATGATTGCCCCGGACCTGATCACGCGTTCGAATACATGATTGCCCCTTGACAATTCTCAAAGCCTAGGCTTAGGTCTTTTGTTGGCGTCATACCGCGACGTTTTTTATTTCGCTTCACTAAAACTTGGACAAACATCTCTGGTGACCCATCGAATTGACACCACTGACGGAAGACCTATTTATAGGCGCCCTTCATCGGCGACTGAGTGCAGCGTCATTCCAACGGAAGTTGACAAGATGCTCGCTAAGGACGTCATCGAGCCATCTTCGAGCCATTGGGCGTCGCCCATGGTACTTGTAAACAAGAAGGACAACACCTGGCGGTTCTGCGTTGACTACCGGCCCCTCAACAAAATCACCAAGAAAGACGTCTACTCTTTGCCGCGAATAGATGACGCCCTTGATTCTCTTCATGGCACACGGTACTTTTCTTCTATCGACTTTCGTTCCGGCTATTGGAAAATAGCTGTCGATGAAAATGATAGATAGAAGACCGCCTTTATTACACCCGATGGTCTATACCAGTTTAAAGTCATGCCGTTTGGGGTGTGCAACGCACCAGCGACATTTGAGCACATGATGGACTCGCTACTGAAGGGTTTCAAGTGGTCCACATGCCTCTGCTACCTAGAAGATGTCGTTTTTTTCCCCTGACGTTCACCAGGCACCTGCAACGTTTGTTGGCTATTTTGCAAGTCTTTCGCTACGGAGGTCTTCAACTCAACTCTTCAAAATGCCGCTTTGGCCGCCGAGAGATCACAGTGCTCGGCCATCTTGTTGACGCTGCGGGTATACGACCTGATCCAGCAAAAATACGCGCTGTAACGAACTTCCTTATTCCACGTTCTTCCAAAGACGTTCGCTTGTTTTCTGGCCTGTGGTCGTATTTTCACCACTTTGTTAAAGATTTCGCAGTGATAGCACAGTCCCTCACATGCCTTTAGAAAAGGACGTCCCTTTTCCTTGGGGCTGTGACCAAGCGTCGGCTGTTTCTCATCTCGTCGACCGGCTCGCACCACCCCCTGTGTTTGCCCATTTCGAAGTCATGTGGTGCTTGCTCTCGCCATCTTGATTGTTTTTGTCGGCATTTCTATGGACTGTAAATATTGTAAATACGCTCGTTTTGTGTAATTTTACGGTAACAATACTAATAAAATAAGTATGGCTGAGTGCTTTAAAAAAAATGCCCCGTTTGGGCGAATGTTGCTTGGCAACTTCTGTGTAAAAGGGCTGCATCTTTCTCGTATGCTCTGACTGCTGTAAACTTCCTCAAAAAGGCCCTTCTGGCTGCTGCAAGCCGGCTACAAAAGGCACTTTTGCCTGCTCTCAGGACTGCTTCCGAACCCATGTACCCTGTTCCACCCCTGCAAGTGTTTAGGGGCTGTTATCATGTGCAGCCTACAACGCAATACCGCATGCCACCCATAACACACCCACACACCATGGAAAAGGAAATCGCACGCTCAAACAAGGATGCACTGGCCAAACACACACGATTCACAGGAAGCAAGCAGATGCCGCAATGGCACCTAAGTTCCGTCGCCTTGCAGAGCTTGACGTCACACACACAATGTTGCCAGTAATTCTGGCAAGCCAGGTGAGCATTTAGAGGCAACCTCTAAAATTAATTTGGAAACAATTTGTTAAATTATCAAGCCTGTAATTTTGGGTAACTGGCAGAAACGTGCAAATGAACGCACCGACTGTATTTCATTGAGATCCATTGACCTTGAAAAATCTGTGGTGTTGGCCTTTAAAGGGGTACTGACAAAAACTTTGGCCTCGCATTTTTCTGCTGCAATGCGTTGCTGGGGGCTTGTTAGTCATGACACGACACATCGTTTGCTGCAGCACATGACAGATAATTAATTACAGGCCCCTCATTGTCAATCAGTTTCAGTTTCGGTTTAGACAGTTCCAAAAATTGGGTGCAACTTTCACCACCTAGCGTGTGCAGCTCTTGACCACGTCAGTACACAGAACTGTGACGCACTTCCGCACAGTCTGCATCAAGAATTACCTTCGAATAGGAAACGGGACTGGTATGTCACCAAACACAAAACTTTCTATGCGTGTGCCACGGTCACGCACTCACAAATAGCCACGGAAAAATATAGACTTCGAGAACTAACGTGGCCAAAGAAAAATGGCGGCTATGACGTCATCATAACTTGTTTTGTTGACCACAGCGTGGTGGCGTGAGAGAAGTAGGGGGTCACCTCGTAGTCACCTCCTAGGGTGTCTATAGAGCTATGGAGTCGATCGCTCACACAAACTTCAAAATTAAGTAAAAAAAACCTTTCAAGCTATATTCGCTGTTGATATCTTGCAGATGATACACGAATGTTCATGAGAATTGACCCCACAGGCTATCTAGGCCCCGAAATTTTGTGTCATTACGCCTTTAAAAAAGGCCATGTTGACTTTTCATGCTGTTTGGCATGGCTTGTCTGTAAAATCGTTCGTTATGAGTTGAGCAAGTGTCACCCATTACATGCTTTCGGTTCTTGGGAATAAAAGTATAGCCTTCGAGATATGCATTTGCAGACATGGTGTCTATGACGCATTAGCCCTGGTCCGGGTTTTGCCGTGGTCTAGTTTTTGGCACTAGCCAAAATGTCGCTTTTGAGATCGCCATTTGCAATTTCAGGTCGAGAAGCTGCACATACTCCTGGAATATTGCCGCCCTCATCCAGGCCTTCTTGTTATGTCAGTACATGACGATATCCCTTGTGGGAAGGTGCACGTTCTTAAAGCACCTAGCCTTACCTGCCCAGCCGATGATGTGCAATGGAAGCTTGTCATTTCCTGACATGTTTGCCCCGAACAAAATATAAGTTCTTTCTGTAGGCCGCTTTCTTGCCTTTCTGAGAAAGTAGTGTTTTTTGCAGCAAAAGTTTTTGAAGGAAGCACCTTTTAAAATAAGGCTGCTACAACCAAGTTGTAGACATCATCCTCTGGAAATTCCTGAAGCAGCGGTGTTAAAGTATGCTTCTGCCAGTAGTCAGTGACGTTAGTCTGTTCTGCCGCTTTCCCCTTGCACTGTCAAGTATGTAACGCTATTTCGCTCTTTAAATTGAGAGAACCAGCTGTTGCTGCACTTGAAGCCTTTGTAGCCAAGGAGCACTGGCAGCTCGTCAGCCCTCTTTTTAAGAATGGTGCTGCTCACAGGAAGGTGAGCGGCGTTTGCATGCTGGATCCACGTAATGAAACTGACCTCAACATCAGGGTATGTTATAAAATGCATTCTGAATCGTTTGGATGATTGCGTCTTGTACGCCTCAAACGCCTTCTTCTTATTTTTCAAGATGATCAAAAGCACCAACAAAGACATCTTGTACTAATTTGCAAACTGCATCTTTGAGCACATCGACTTATCTTTCTCCTCGATTAAGGACACCTCCTGCAGCGTCTCTTATTTTGACATAGTGTGTTGCGCAAGAAGCTGTGATTTCACATGTGGTGAATTCTGGCAAAACTCGAACACGCCCATGTCGCTCAACCAACACCATGACCTCAAAGGTGTGCCTTGCCGGGATGCTGTTTCCGTATGTTGTTTCCGTATGTTGCTGCTGGCAGGAAATTTCTGATTGTGCAGATGGAACCCTGCGGGATGTTCAAATAATGTGGTGAAATTTGCACCGGAAGTCACCACTCAGATTCTTCTAATTGACTGGAATTTATATTTAACCGAAATGGAATTGTCTAGCTTTTACTGTATCAGCGAAATGCTACTGTGGTCATTGATTCAAACAAGGCTTTGTCATACTTGGGCATGGCATGCTTTTAAACCTTACCATTCCCTCCAGCTGTCACGTTCACAGTTACCTACTGTATTCTACGGGATGAATGTGTATGTAAATGCAAAGGCTTCAGGAAGTGAGAAAGAGCAGCCAGCTTTTCAGCTATTATCATCAGCTCCCATCTGCACATACGGGATATGTATTTGGCTGAAATGTTTACAGCAAGGTATAAGTGCTGTGGGGCTCTTTTTAAGACTTGCTCCTTTTTCTTCCAGGTTTCCTATTCACAGGCTACATGCTGCACGTGTGGTTGGCTGCAACGCAGTTCATTGCACCCCTCATGGCCAATTTTGAGACTATCTCCAGCAATGACTCGTCAGTCAAGTATGTCGACAATGGTAGGTGCAGTCTTCTCTGTCTTTTTTTGTTTTCTTTATTTTCTGGGCAGCAATGTCATAGTGCAGTTGTGGATCTAGCTTCATCTTGGGAAGTTGCAGCATATTTTTTTTACACTATATATCGAGAGTATTCTTAGACTCTTTTTAAAGAGTTGCCAGTCGTGAATCATTTATGATCCTGGAAGGAATTGTTTGTACAGCAGCAAAAGTTGTTGGCAAAATTAGTTATTGCGGTTTTTCATGGAATTTCTTGTGAAAAGTTTTCTTTTCTCGACAGTTTTTTTTTCCTCGGCAGTTTTCTTATTTTCGTAAAACGATGACATGTGCACTATGGCAGTAGTTTACTTCTTGTAAAAGCACCACGAATGCCTTTTAGCAGTTTTTAATCACTGTGTTATGTAAACAGATAGTGTGCAGATTGCGGTGTCAAAAAAAATTTACTTTTTTTTGAACAAACAAGGTCACTCCGTAGCTAGTCATATCAATTCACAGCTATATTTACATAATTGAGTGCCAAACGAATTTTCGAATCATTCGAAGCATGTCATTCCCAAGGTTTCTATAAATAACCCTTGCGGGAATAAAGGCCGATGTGCTCTTAAACACATTGGAGGCGTCCTTTAACTGTGGTCATGTTGAGGTCATTCACTGAGGTCATTAGGCGATTTTAATATGATAGCTTTAAAGAGCTTGTTTTGAAGTCAAATGTCAACACCAGTATCATTGGTTGTTAGTAGAAAATCATTATTGCTGAAGATAGGTGCAAATGAAAAAAACACTAATCGTTAAAAAATCCAGTTATAATAAAAAATCTTGATTCAACCGGGAGTTGAACCCAGGAATTCTAGGTGACAAGCAAGTGTTTTACTACAGAGCTGGGGCTGTGCTTGAAACTGTTTTGAAAATCGATCGATGATTGATAGATGGAAAAACTTGATTGAGGTCCCAAAAGATTCCAGCCCCATTTTATAGGGAGAGGATTGCGGGCCGCTCTCATGTAGGGACAGGGAGGACGTAGTCCTAGTCAGTCAGAATGGGGCAAAGTACTAACAGACTTGGGGATAAGCCGAGTTATGCATGGCCACTTCGCAAAAGGAATGATAAAACTTCTTGAGCCGAAGCCTTTCTGTGTGGCTTCTAAGCCGTATGCATTGCCATATGCAGCACAGATTACTTTTCACCCAACCACCTATAGTCAGCTGTACGCAGTGTGCATACAAGATGTTGTGCATTTTTTAATTGCAGGCACATCTTTTGTGGTGGAGTGGCACCAGGTTGTATTGCAGGACAAGCCCAATGGTGAGATGGATTTTCTTTTGCTTTCATTTCAGTTACTGCCAGCTCCAAAGAAATGTTTGCTGTGTAATTTAGAACACGAACTTAAAGTTAATCCAGTGATTTCATCACCAAGAATAATTTTTTATTATCACATGCTTAGCTTTGGTAAAATGTTCTGAGGCAAGCACTCAGGAGGCGGTAAATTACTTCCATGAAAAGTGTTCAATATCGGTTTTGAAGAAAACAGTGATTATAAACCAGCATCATAATTACTGTATTTACTTGCATAATTTTCACTCTGACCCCCCCCTCCAATGTCCAACAAAAATACTATTTTTTTTTTCCCACGAGTAAATATGGCACCCCCGAAAATGGCAGCAGTAATGTCATCGACTTCTTTCAACCACTGGTAATGATAGTGCATGACAGCCTAGTGCTATCTCTTAAAGGGCTAGTCACCAGGTTTGACAATTTTGAGCTGACGAGCGCAATTAGTAGACGAGGCGTTCATGATCACGTCTGCTAAAATTTGCAACGCTACGCGCCGCGGCAATGTGTCAAATTTCAAGATGAACGCAGCTTCCCCTCCCCTCTGCCGGCGCGCGCCTAGAGAATGAGGGCATGACGTGGGCATATGAATGGCCCCATGTACACGGCAATGCAGTGACGTTGGTCCTCTACGTTGACGACTCTGCTCTGACGTTGCAGACAGTGATATGGCGAAAATTATTTTTAACACAGCATGCGTAGTTTATGTATTTTGTTGCTTGAAAAGGTCAATAAATCTCTAGATAAATAATGAGACGCAATACAGGAATGTGAGCGTCTTTTTTTTTCTATTTTCCTCCCGCGAATTGCAACGAGATGCGGGGCTAATGTGTCGGCGTTTCGCATGCGTTCGTGTCCCCGCTGTCAGCGCACGAAGCAGACGACCGCTGTGGAACACTCCTACGCGTTCGCGCACTCAGTGTGCTCATCTATTTCACCGTGTCGAAGCCAGCGCTTCCAAGCCAGCCCGCAGATATAGGCAGAAGACCACAAAATAACACTGGTCAACAAAGCAACGCCGCTCGCGTGCTCGTGGGTTAGACTTGTTTGGGCACGTCATGCACAAGTCACTTCTTGGTCGGATGCCGGAGAGGGTGGGGAAGAGATTTGGCTTGTGAAGGTTACGCGGAGGAGCGGCAAGGGTTTCGAGCTCGCCTCCTCTTATCCTCCTTTTGTGCCGCTTCAAAAACCCTGTTTTCTCCACTCGTGGTGAACCTATTCAAAAAAGTTTTGTGGCATTATGTTCTTTATCGGACACCCAACAACTTCCACTGCCTAACTCAAATTTGGCATGGGGCCTGGTGAGTGGCCCTTTAAGCGTCATACATATTATCACTCTAATCCAAGCCAAGTCACAAGTGGCAAGTATGTGTTTCGGCACATTAGTGCTAGTCCGTGAAGTGCACCTTGTTCTGTTTGTTCTGTGGTTACACTATGGGTTGATATGGAAGCTACATGGCGGCTTTGAAATTGAAAGAGACTGATGATGCACTAAAAAACTGCAACAGCACCGCTGGCAAGCACTTCCTAGAGAAATGTTTCACTCTGGCCAGGTCAAATTGTCTGGGGTGAAGTTTTCCCCTGCTAGTGAACACCTTAAGGAGTAAATTACGGAGAAACAAAAGCAGTGTGCACATTATTTCTTTTCTTTTTCTGCTTTTCACTCCCCTTTCTCCTGATGGCACTCCATGGTTTTGCATTCGCCTACTGCTCGTGTCATGTCGGTGCATCAGCATAAGGTGGCCAGCTCCCGCTATTTCATTTTTGCTAGTAGGTGTTTTTCGAAAGTTTGTCCGAGTCTAAATAAAGGGTTGGCACTGTATTGAGGTTCATCTTCACTAGTGATGTGTAGGAAGGGTTATGAAATGAAAAATTTATGTCCACCCGATTGTTGCACAAATGTCAACGAAATTCATATGAATTTTTCGGAAAGAAAATCTCCACGGAGGTTTTTTTTTTCCGTCTACTAAGAAGCTTTTCTTTTTGGGGAATACATGTAAACTGTCCCTTAGCTTTGTGCTACAGTCAAGTCAGTAGCAAATATTCCTTTCTGGTTCGTGATGAATTTGCAAAGAGGCAATCAATCTTTAAAAAGCTGTAAGGTATGGTCCGATAAGTATAAATTTGGTGGCACTCGTTTTAAGCGTGCTCATAAGTAAGCTTTGTAAAGACATTAGCCCAAAATTTTTAATAGGACTGCTAGAGGTGACAAAGTAAAGCCCGAGGAGAGTGATTTGGCACTGGCATGGACACCGTCAGAGATTCTTTGGCGGAATGATTATGCCTGTAATTGTTTATTAAGAAGGTTTGGCCATGACTTTGAAATCATGCTGGTTCTTCGATTGTGTATGCCCTCTAGGAGTTGTCTAGATATTGTGACGAGAGCAATCTTTTTCTTTCTATTGAAAGAGTTTTGAATATTTAACTTTCTTATTCGTGTTTATGAGGTAATGGGATGTCCAGGTGTCTCTTTTTGTTTTGTCTTATTTTTAACCACCAGTAAATACATGCACAGTAGTCTCATTAAATGGGAGCTGAAGGTACCGGGAAAAATGGGCTTAATTAACTGAGACAGGAACCGGACTGCGAAATAAGTATAAAATAAGTATAAAAGTGACCCTATTTGGAGCAGTTCTCTTCTAGGAGCAATTTTATTGAGAGCCTTTCATTTACTCAGAGACTAATGCGCAATAAATACCAATACCGTATATACTCGCATAATGATCGCACTTTGTTTTTGTTTTTTTTTTTTTCAAAAAAGTTGACTCTAACTTTGGGATGCGATCAGCTTGCGGGGTAAATTTTCCGTGAAAAAATATTCCGAGCACTGAAAACGCAAAAAAGTCGCTAATCAGAATTCTTACGCTAACTATCATGAGCATAACCAAAAATAAAAGTAAATTAAGGCTTACTGTTGTAATAAAACGCACGCATTACGCAGGAGCTACATGCATGGCACAGTGCCCTTTTATTTTTCACATCTCTGACCCCTTAACGTTCACTCAGACTCCGAAGTCACTGGCGTCAGTGTCGTCGCCGCACAATTCCCTGTCGGAACCGGCAGTGTCTTCACTGTCCCACAGACGGTCATCATCCGTTCTGTCGAGCGCGTTGGAAATGCCAGTCTTTATGAAGCTCTTGACGACCACCTCGTCGGAAATGGTACTCCAAGCTTCGAGAATCCATGGACGGTCTCCTGATTTTGCCACTTGGCGTGAAATCTTTGTCGCTCGCCGCCATCCACTCCACGTACAGCCTTCGGACGTTGTCCTTGAACGGTTTGTTCAGTGACACGTCCAAAAACTGTAGCAGCGAAGTTAGACCCCCTGGGATCACTGCGATTTCCGTGCGCCGCTCCTTCAGCTCGGTACGGACAGTGTCAACGAGATGACCTCGAAAGCCGTACTGCACAAAAAGTGAAGGAAGCACAAGTGCTCCTGCTCTTCGCCCCCAAACCGTCTTGATCCAATCGACCATGAGTTCTGCCGTCATCCACCCTTTCACTTGAGTGCGGATGTGGATGCCACAGGGAAAGTTTCCCTTCGGAATTGTTTTCCATTTCAGAATAACATACGGCGGCAGCTTCCGGCCGTCTGCCGTCGCAGCGAGCATCACGGTGCATCACTGCTTCTCCGCACCACATGTTTTCACGAGGACGCTTCGAGCACCTTTCTCGTTTACAGTAGTGCTTCGAGGCATGTCGAACGTCAACGGCGTTTGGTCGGCGTTGCCTATCTGTGACAGCAGGAAGCTGTTCTTCTGGTGTATCCTCATGACGAAACTGTAGAAATCGATCACCTTGTCATCACATGCGAATGGAAGTCGCTGGCACTAGGACGTCGGCCGCCTCAACGACAGTTCATTCCGCCGCATGAAGTGTGTCGTCCAGCCGGAACTGGGGCGGAAGTTCTTTGTGGCTGTTCCCAGCCACCGAGAAACTGTGCGGGCCTGCGTCCGTATCATCTCTAACGACACTGCACAACCGTGCTTGCATATGTCCTTCACGTATTCGAGGACTGCCTTTTCCATCTCGGGGAACTTGCCAGATTTGGGTCCGCGGGAAGCCCGTCGCGTGCTGTTAGTAGCCATGAGCTTGTCGTGCTGTTTTTTCCAATATCTGATCAGGATTTCGTCGACGCCAAAATGTCTGCTGACAGCGTGGTTGCCATGCTTTAGCGCGTAGTCAAGCGCCTTCAGCTTGAACGCGGCAGTATAGCTCGCATACTGCCCCATGGTGAAACAGCGCTTTAACAGACGATCACAAAGCACACACACACACACACACAAAAAAAAAAACGTGTCAGGAAAAAAACATGGCTGCGGGATGAACTCAGCTCGACCAACAGGCGGCCGCCGTGGTAACAGTGCGGGATGTCAAAACAAACATGGCGGCTGACGGAGCGAAGCGATCACATTTTTTTCTTCTTTTCGTCAGCTATGGAAGTTGTGAGTACGTCACGTGCGTCAAAACAGTTTCTTCCATCTAAATAAGGAATGCATTTATTTAAATCAGTAAATTTACGGCATTAGTATAGTGATGCCTGCTTTCAGATCACAGAAACAATGATAGGCGTGTTCAGCTGCCACAGGTTTAAATACACATGGAGGGCATTCAGTTAAAACTGCGACATTTGCCCTTACTGCAATCCTAAATGGCACGTTTCAGCCAACGGTGGGCAAAAATTAAGAATATGTTTGGTGCATGCAGTTGGCGAGTTTCATCCGACAGATAATAAAGGCGATGATCTTCGGCTAGACTTGGCGCACGACATATTGATTTGGCAAGTTCGGGGTGCGATCATTACGCGGGGGAAAAAAATCCCATTTAGACAACAAAATTTAGGGATGCGATCATTATGCGAGTGTGATCATTACGCAAGTAAATACGGTATAACTGGGTCTTTCATTCTGATCAAAGTGAACCTTTTTGAGTTTCCCGTGTAGAGATTCAAATAAAATGTACCTCATCACAGAGGAGTTGACAGGGTTACAGCAACCCTTAAAAAATTCTTAATGGTTGAAATGTCTTTGCAGGAGGCAACTACACGTTCCAGGCCGTGCTGCACAAAAATGGAGACATTGTCTTTGTCTACAAAGATGTGAGTGTCTTGCCTACATTTTGTAGTATTCACAAAAAGGTTATACACTGAAACCTTAATAATGCAAAACGCAAACTTGCTGCAAAAAACCTCAAAATTACAGTGAAACCTCGTTAATACACACCTGTTTTAAAGCGTACTAAGGATTAAAACATAGTTGTGACGAATCCTCGACTGAGTCTTGTAGAGACTAATGCATTCGCGGATTGCTGAAGAGGGGGACATGGGACTTGATAGTGAAATATATTAGTATTAGGCCTAGAGACATGATTTTTTTTCAGGGAATATTCAGCTTTGTACACTGATTGAAGATATATAATTAAATTTTCTTTACATAAATAAAAAATGTTACAACTGTTATATTTTATGAACTTGGGATGTGACTTGCATAAAAAGTAATGCATTAAAAGAGCTATAATTGAACCTGTATATTGCTGAATATTCAAATAGTGCAAATATGCAATTTCATGCTAGTATCTAAATTTTACCCAAAGTTATGAAGTTATGTTACAGTCTCTTGGCTCTGAATTTTCACTGGTGATTCCTGCGAAATTTCAAAATTTTACAATGACCTTGAACATTTCATCATGGTTTTCTTGCACACTTCAATACCCTAGCATTCAAAAAAAAAAAAAAAAGATCAAGAAAATCGAATCAGTATTAGCAACACAGTGCTCATCCCGAAGTCCAAAACATGCGAAAATCTGTATTTGAGAAAAACGCAAAAAACTGAAAAGGTTGTGAAAATAAAAATTTCATGCATGAAAGCGACAGCACTTGTATTCACAATCACTCAGAAAGCCCCTGCGGAGTAGTCTGAAGCAGGCTTTTGCTTGTGCTTCTTCTTTGCGGCTGCCTCGAACGCTGCTGAGGATGCAGGTTTCCTCTCTGAGCCGACAGCTCGGGGATAGTCTTTCTCAACCGCCCGCTGGTCACCTGTGCATGTTTGATCTAGCTGCAAGTCACGCGAAATAAGCGAACTAGATTCCTTGTTCCCTAAGTTGAAATGCATAACAGCATCTGCCATGGCAGTCTCAATAGCAAACAATGACGCGTTCTTGGCCTCTGGTGAGAGGCTCCAAATGACCGAATGCGAGGCCTCATTCACATTCTGCGTCTTCCTTCTGGTGCATGTCTGCAGGACCTTCTTGTCGGACTAGCATTCATTAACAGGATGCAGTGCATTACTCACAGCCTCTGGCAAATTGTACTTGCTTTTTGGGATGGGCTCATTCTTTGCCATGACTGCATTATGCTTGCACCAAAACTCTGGGCCCGTGTGGACAGAAGCTGTGGTTTCATTTCTCGTCAGTGGATGTCACACGATGATACGTAGCCCACACAGCCTTGTGCATCTCATCCACATTCCCAGAATGGGATTTCAAAGCCCAGCCGTAATAATGCGTCAATTTCGTAATGAGGTCACCCGTGAGGCAGCCCTTGCCACATATGCGCTCGCTGCTGACCCCTTTGTGCTTCTGCACGATGTTCCGAAGCGCAGTCCCCATGCGCTTCAGCCCATGGTTCGAGCAGTCTTCTTTTTCAACATTTATGAAGCCGTACACCTTAGCTTCTTTGACAGCACTGTACAACCGGCTGTCACCATCACAAAGCGTGGTGGTGTACCTGAGGCCATGAAGTGAAAGGCAGCGCTGAAATAAAATCATTGCTGCCTCTACTTCCATTTGGGCAGCCTTGCATGAGGTGTTTTTCTGGCATGAGTGTTTGGCTTTCCATTCAGAGTGTGCTGGGCTCTCGGGTTTTTTACCACATTAAGAGCCGAGGCAAAAATTAAAAAGCACAACATAGTCTAGTACATAACCTGAAAAAACTTCTATCACAGTGGCTATTCCAATCTGAGAGGTGTGTCCTCTTGTGTGCCAGCTTCCATCAAAAGAGACGGCAATATTTCCGGGGTTGCCGAAATTGAGGTCCTAGTTGAGGCACTTTTCCACTGTGGCACACTTAGTCAAATGTTCGGCACAAGCTCTTTTTGCTGCTGGCTGAAGCTTCATTTTCAAGTACTCTTGGTACACATTCGTGTGAAGGCCCTGATGGGAAACACCGATAGTGGCAAAGATGTCATTCAGAGCTGTCTGACTGTGCCAGTGCTCTGAACTGCATGCACCGTGCGAACGTTGATTGCGAACTGGTTGCAGTTACTGCTGCCACGAACCCGTCGCGAGCTCCATTTCGAGCCAACTTCTCCGCAGTTGCTGCAGTGAAGCTTCAGCTTAAGGGGGGAGGCTACCATCGGATACCAACTTTTTTGTTCATTGAGATATCTTAATGAAATTTTCAGGATAGACTTATAGCATAAGCATTAGAAGAACTACAAAATTTGATCAAGTTATGTTCACTGGTTTTCAAGTTACAGTAGAATATCAGGGTAGTGCACATGGTTCTCTTATTCCAGGCCTGGAGAACTTTCAAAAGGTGCTGGAACTGTGAAATTAACTATGATGATTCCCAGATTGATACTCCAGGGGGTAACAGAGCCCTTTTTTTGAATTTCCTTGCTGAAATGTTTTAGCAGACCATTAAACTTTGTGTTCGTGATTAGGATATTATCAATCAAATTTTGATTAAATATAATAAATAACACACACAATATATTGAAAAAATGGGCTTGTCAACCCCTCAGAAAATTTATTCATGTACATAATAAAAAAAGACTTATGGAAATCCAATGAGTGGTTCCAGAGATATGGCTGGAATAAGCAGCCTCACTAGCCAAAAAAGTCATTTTGAGAAAATGACGTTTGAAAGTTTTGAGCACATAGGCAGTTCTAAAATGAACCTGCAGCGTAACTGGAGGTGTCCTTTGGCACTCTCTTTCTTTGCCGCCTTTCCATCTTCTCTAGGGATCGCTTCTTAGCCTTTTTCAAGCGCAGAGAATCTTTCTCGGCTGCCTGTTGAATGGCCAGGTGGCCAGGTGTTAGCCCCCACTGAAGAAGCTAGCTCTTGGGTGGCCCTGTAGCAGCCAGCATTGTATCTTAGCACTGCATCATGCAGTGCTGTCTCCACAGCAATCAGTGACACATGCTGCTCTTTGGGCATGAGGGACCACAGCACAGAGTGAAAGGACTCTGATGCATTCTGCGTCTTTGCTCCCAGGCAGCGTTGCAGAAGAGAAGCCTGTGAGAGCCTCTCATAAATCGGAAGAAGGGATCAAAGGGAACGTCAAGTGGTTGGAGGAACCCGGCAGGACTCATAGAAGGTTTTTTGCGGCGTTGACACTGATCGCATGAGGCGACGTAGCTGCGGACCGAGCGATAAAGACTGGGCCAGTAAAATCGACGCTGTACGCGGTCATACGTCCGAGACAGTCCGAGGTGACCGGCAGTGGGAGCGTCATGAAGCTGGCCGATCACGCTCGCACGTAGGTGGGAAGGTACCACAAGGAGCAGTTCGTGTCCATCAGGGCGGACGTTGCAACGGTACAATGTGTCATCCTTAAGCACGAACAATCGAGTAGAAGGATCGGGTGCCGCAGAATGAAGCTTCTCGATGATGTTACGCAAGGCAGGATCTCGGCGCTGTTCCTCACGGATGTTGCTTAAAGCGGAGAGAGACAGCACACATGGCGATTCATCGAACGCTTCAGATGGGTCCACTGGATTCCGAGATAAGCAGTCAGCGTCATGGTGTAAACGGCCAGATTTGTAGGACACCGAGTAGTTATACTCTTGAAGCCGTAGTGCCCATCGACCAAGGCGCCCAGTGGGGTCCTTCAAGGACGAGAGCCAGCAAAGTGCGTGGTGATCGGTTATGACAGTGAAATGTCGACCATGTAAATAAGGCCGAAATTTTGCTACTGCCCAAACGAGAGCAAGGCATTCCCTTTCGGTGATGGAGTAGTTCCTTTCCGCCTGCGAGAGGAGACGGCTGGCATAGGCGATAACGCGGGCGCAGCCGCTTTGATGCTGAACCAAAACAGCACCGATTCCGTAACCGCTGGCATCTGTGTGTACTTCGGTAGGGGCAGAAACGTCGAAATGGGCCAGAACAGGTGGTTTTGTTAGCGATTCAATAAGTGTAGAGAACGCCGTAGCCTGCGCAGCGCCCCATGTGAATGAGACATCTTTTCTCAATAAGTCTGTGAGAGGACGGGCGACTTCCGCAAAGTTGTTCACAAAACGTCGAAAGTACGAGCACAGACCGAGAAAGCTGCGTACTTCTTTAGTGCAGGTCGGAACAGGGAAGTTACGCACGGCTCGCACTTTATCGGGATCAGGACGTACACCAGAGGAGTCGACAAGGTGGCCCAACATTGTTAGTTGCTGGCGTCCGAAGTGACACTTTGACGAGTTCAGTTGGAGACCGGCATTGCGAAATACGGCCAGTATTGAGGAAACGCGGTCGAGGTGGGTTTCAAAGGTCGGGGAAAAGACGATAACGTCGTCAAGGTAGCATAGACAAATTGACCATTTGAACCCACGCAAAAGAGAGTCCATCATCCGCTCGAAGGTGGCTGGAGCGTTGCATAATCCGAAGGGCATGACCTTAAATTGGTAAAGACCATCGGGGGTGACAAAAGCGGTCTTCTCGCGGTCCATGTCATCGACAGCAATTTGCCAGTAACCTGCTCTTAGATCAATAGAAGAAAAATACTTAGCGCCGTGAAGACAATCTAGGGCGTCGTCTATGCGCGGTAGCGGGTAGACGTCTTTTTTAGTGATCTTGTTCAGATGTCGGTAGTCAACACAGAATCGCCAAGTGTTGTCCTTCTTTTTGACAAGAACAACAGGGGAAGCCCATGGACTACATGATGGTTCAATTATGTCTTTGGCGAGCATGTTGTCGACTTCTGCTTGAATTATGTGACGCTCGGTCGAAGATACGCGGTATGGCCGTCGATGGACAGGGAGGCATCGCCGGTGTCAATGCGGTGCTTTACCGCACTGGTTTGACCTAGTGGACGATCACAAAAGTCAAATACGTCCCAGTATGACTCAAGAACGCGAAGGAGTTCGTCAGCTTGATGCGGCAAAAGGTCT